CTGCTGCTTCTCTGGAGAAACCTGAAGGATCTTCTGATAAACCTTTATATTTATGGCACTTTACCCTCATGTCTGTTAGCCAGACAGAACTGTGTGTGTTTGAACTTTTACTCATTTACATGAAAACACTCTGACCCCAGGAATCGGTCTGATTTGGGAATGTTTTCATCCCTGAGAGATTCCCTGTTTTGCCTTTTGATTATCTTTTCCTCTGAACACAGCCTTGTGGTCTAAGTTCTTTGCTTATGTTGGTGTTTTTGCAGCAGTTTAAAACAACTAAAGTTCTGATGGTGAATTTACAGATGAACGGAGAGAATCCACCAACATGCCTCATTTTCTGCTGCTTTTACACCTTATTTTATAGGACAATGTATTTATTGTAAAGTCAGAATGTGATCTAATTTTCTAAAATAAAATTCAGAAGTAGTCGAGTCTTTCTTCCTTATTTAATGGACTAAGAGACACCCTGCTGAATTAATTTAATGCTTTAAAAACATTAGGGGTCAATTCAATATAGTGCCAATTCACAACACATCATTGCAAGGCATGTTATAGAGACAATTCAACCAGATCATCCAGTCAGATTGATTCAAAGTTTTCTAACTAAGGAAAACTAGTTGACTGCATCGACTCATTGACTCTTCAGCAATCCCTAACACCAAGCATGCTTGTAGCGAAAGTGGAGAGGAAAAACTCTCTTTTAACAGAAAAAAACCTCCAGCAGAACCAGGCTCAGTGTGATCTGAGGCTGCTGAGGCTGACTGGGGTTCAAGGAGACAGAAGCAGAGATACAAAAAGCAGCTATTAAAGGCGGCCCCGTCCAGGAAACACACAGCCAGGCAGAAGGGGTCCAAACCAGCTCCCATTTCAGAGGATGAAGAGAGCACATCCAGCCAGTTACTGTCACAACCAGGACTACAATGGAAAACAGGCTGATCTCCAGCATCTATAAACAAAGATGTTGATGGCAGCAGGACAGCTGATATTTCAATTTGAAAAAATAAGAGAAAAGACAAGTAGAAAAAATGTATTGATACAATTAAGTGGTCTTTGGCACTCAGACCTCAGCAGGAAACATTAATTTTTATAGATATGCATGAACAGGAGCAAAGAAAGTTTCCCCCCAGGTCTGAAACTGGTGGTGGAGAAAGAGGAAGCTGGTCAGTCTGTAGACTGCTGGTTAGTGAGACGGTTTGCTGAGCTTTTACGGGGAGATCCAGTGGATTGCGTGAGCTGATACTAGAGCTTCACTCAGGGACCTAGAAGATGGAAGTCCAGTTGGATAACACAGGTTGAGAGAACCTGTCCATGATGAGCAAGCATGAAGCGAGAGTTGAGAGGAAAAACTCCCCATAGGGAAGAAACCTCTGGCAGAACCAGGCTCAACATTTGAAATTTGAGTCAACAATAGTAGCATTAGTA